TTGAAATTCGAAAAGAGTTTCTGAACTTTCTAAGTTTACCTGTTCCAACCTGTATTAAAACTGCTATTAGAAATGCAGACCACATCGTACAATAAAAGTATATAGAGAGTAAATATATCAAGGCTAAGCCAGGTACGCCATAGATATTCATTAATAACATTGCATCTAAAAATATAATAATCAGCAATCATTTAAATTTGAAACCGTAAATAATTGGGTAACTTACACATCTTGTGCGAAAACGAATAACCTTCGATGGGTGATAAAGCCAGTATAATTGTATAGACAATGGAATATGAGAAGAACGTTATGTAATCCCATACAAAATTAACACACCAATAACGTGCCATACTAACACCGGCTATTTTTTGTAATGTTAACAAATGATATTTGCGCTCTTCCACAAGAGGTACAATAAAGCAAGCAATCGATATGGGTATGGCAATTCCTAAGACCATTGGTAATAGTAAATGGGTCTTCTCTTGGTCAAGCACGTGAATTTTGGCACGTAATGGTGCCGGTTCTGGATGATTAGCGACCGTTGTTATTGCTTTAATGTCTTTATTTCTAAATAAATAAACATTATACATATTCTTTATTAATTATATCTTTTATACAGGCACATTACGTTACATATACAAATCCATATATTTATAAGTTCTAAGGTCGAACCCTATATTCTTGCTAGCTTACTTATTTTATTCGAGATATCCATTTGCAGACTGTTTATTAAGTATAAGAAGACTGGGGATAGTTATATACCGATTTTATAAATTTTTTGAAAATTAGTTTTCACATCATAGACGCACGATGAGTACTAAATTACGGTATTTTTATTGCATCTGCTAATGACTACGCGCTCATGGCATCGGGCACTTCACTTTTCTTTATAAAATATACCGTGTATTTTTCTGACGTTTGCAGAAGTAAGTCTAAGGAAAGTCTTAGAATTCAACACTTCCGACTTGACAACATTATAGAAAACACATGTCCTGAACGCTACTAGTTCGTCCGATTCTAACCACATATTGACATGTCCCCTTAACCCCATTAATTAGACTACATTGTGCTTCTTAAACGGAAGTATGCAAGCCTCACTATGTAGATGTTCGACGGGAGGCATCCTGTTATTGTACGGAGTGAGGGAATCTGACAGGTGCTGCGTAGTTTATGATCGACCTTATGCCTTGTATGAGGCCAACAACGTTTCGTTGCCTTTTCCTAAGGTACTGTGTATTTAGTAGGGAAAAATGTTAGGCTCCTTGCAGAGAAAAAGTGAAAAAGATTGGTGAGATAGCTGTTTACTGACCTCCCGTCACTTGACAGCGAAGAAAACACTTAATATCTTAGTAGTAACTAACCGCTACAACAACAAATAACCTATACAATGACTTACGTAAGATACATATTGTGCATTAAATTCAAGACAAGCGGAGCTGTATGGAATATACGTTGATTAAACCAACATGTATATGTGTCGCCATTTACTTCTACTGCGCCAAATTTGTCCATTACAGTTTCTGATTTTTTTAGAAAACTTTCAAAACTAACATGCAGGCAACGAAGCGAGTTTTGGTCAAATCTTAACGAGCTTTTGCCAATACGTTTTTCTCTTATAGGGTTGTAGATTTGAATGTTTTTACAGTCTTTGAATGATGTTAAATCTATGTTTCTTGTAGCACCCAACTCTATGGGATTGTAGCGCGTTGGTGGTACATTCATACTATTCTTTGCCATTATTGCTATCAAAAGAATAAAAACGAATGAAACGGCCATTGTTATGAGGGGCACAAAGTTTGGCGCTTGATGTATGAGCTTTTTATTTAGTAATGCGTAAGTATGTTGCCTTCCAAGCTTTTTTGAAGAGATATATTCGCATGTAGGTTTTTCTAAAATTATACAAAAAGGAATTACAGTTATAATACCTTTTAACAAAATTTTGTTCAAATTTAAAATTATTTAATACATACTATCGCTGATTATGACTTGTTTCGTTTTGCGTGAACCCATTGTCATGTAAATTTCAGTAAGCTCGCTACTCAGTGCTCGCATATCTATGATGCCAAGATTTTTTTGCTCCTTTTCTAGATGTATCAACATATTTTGAAATTTCGGTCTCATATCAAGTGGCAGTTTGTAGTAGAGGAGCTCTCCAATTTCATTTTCCGGTATAACTCCAGGTATAAATCGTCCGATTAACTCCGTTATCGCTTCGGTTGAAGCTGTTGCAGATTTAACTATAATCTTAGGAACAAAAATATAAACATATAAAAGCGCTATTAGTAAGGTATTCAAATATCCAAGTATGTAATAAGCAGCTCATATTTTTTTATTTAACTCATCAATTTTAATGCTTCTTCCCAGAATGCTGAGTGTCAGTTTTACATTTCAATGCAGCGGTTAGAACCGAGTAAGAACCGTAATCAGAAATTTACAGTTCCTTTATGAATGCGAGATTTTACAATCTGAGCCAGGTCCAGGAATAATTTCACAATTTTCCTTAATTACGGCCGATCTAATTACATAATAATGCCTTCCCGATATTCTGGGTTAAAGTCCCATCAGTCGATATCACCTTCATTGGGATATAACTGTACAGATAATTTTAAAGTTGAGGAATGCATAGCGACATGTAGTCTATTGCGCCCTGGACATAACTGTATAGTGTGTTGGAAGCAATGATTGTTAAGCCAGTATGTCAGGGTTCAACTATAGTATTTTTGATTATGAGGTATGAATTAATTCTAGTAACTACTTTTGATATTATATCGGATTTATATACACCTAAGTACCGCTACCTCAACACCATTACGCAATACTATTGGAGAATATTTTAGGCAAACAGGCGCTTAAAACAAGAAAAATGTTAATTTCGGTTGCATAATACTTTCAAATTTTAGATCTATATCTCAAAAACTGTGGTACGTATACTCAGATAGACAGACTGACATGGCTAAATGGACTCGACACGCTGATTATTTATGTATTGTATATATTTTATAGGTTATCCGATGTTTCCTTCTGGGTGTTATAAACTTCGTGGCAAAGTTAATATACCCTGTTCAGGGTATAAAAATAATTTAATTTGTATACAGACTAAACGACGTTTTTATATATGTATCTACATAATGCAAATATTTATAAATTATTACCAAATCACAACCGACACCAAATTTGCTTCTAAGGAAAAATGGTGTGCCATAAGTTAGAAGCGCGCCTTCACTGAACATCCCAATACGATCTCCAACAGCTTCGGCTTCAGTTATGTCGAATGTGGTCATTACAATGGCGCGACCATATTTTTCTTTATGCAATATGTTCCAAAACAAACGTTGCTCTTTTCCTTTCATATGAAGTGTAGGTTCGTCAAGCAGAAGGATTTTTGTACCACCAGCAATAGCGCAACCCAAACTTACAAAACGTTTTTGACTATAACTTAATGATTTCACCAACGTTTTACGCTGAATTCGTGTTGCTCTCACAGATTCGAAGAATTTATCTAATTCCATATTGATTTTTTGATTATCTCTTACTGGTAACTTAATCAGCATATAATATTTTAATGTTTCTTCGACAGTGAGTAAATCAAATAAAGCGTTATTTGGCATGCACACATCAATACTGCCACGATATTTATTCCAATTTTCATACAAATCATTATGTTCAATTTGTACTTGTCCCAAAAGTGGTCGTCGCCAACCAGCCATTATTTGAATTATTGTCGTTTTACCTGAGCAATGTGGTCCAAATATGACAGTAATCTCATTTGCATACATACGCATTGTAATATTTTTAAGTTGTATTCTTCCGGAACTGTATTTTGTGTGTATATTTTTTAAACGTATCAATTCAACACTACTGATGGTGCCGAATTCAAAATTTTCCCAAATTATTGGTTTTTCAAGTATTAAAATATTGTGTTTTTTCGAATTTGGAACTTTTGTGGGCTTATTCATTGTGGTAAGACAGCGTCCACTACAGCACAAGCTGAATGGTAATGTTTTAATATAAGGCCCTGGACTAAAGTACTCCGCTATAGAAATCAATATCCAATAAAATGCACAATTCGCCAACATCGTTATGACTGGATTTAAAAAATCATCGCCTTCTTGAAACTCGCGCATTCCATATGCAAAACCATTGTTGAAAAAGCCAATAAAACAAATACACAAAATTGTGGTCATTTTCAAATAATGCGCCGCCAAAATCGAGAATAAGGAATACATGGTAAGCCATATTACAGCTCCAAACAATACAGCGTGCAGTGCTTTAGTCGAAATTGAGACTATAAACACGGCGGTAATCAGGAGTGCAATATTGTATGAAATTAGATAGAGGATTAACCAAATAATATTACTAGCGAATTTTCCCTCAAGTGGCAGCTATAAATAGAAAGAGCAATATAATCGTTAGTATTCGCGATATTAACACTTAAGTAATTGATTTCTAATATATGTATATAACTCGATATGCCTATTTCCTAAGAGTATTGCTTTGTTAAGTATTGAAATTGCAAGAACGTTTTTCAATAACAATCAACGCATTAAACATTATTGATAATGTAATAATTAAATATAATTTAATTGGAACTAATGCAAAACAGGGTTGCAAATAATGCATTAAAAAAATAATTGAATTAACATTTGAATATTTTTTTTAATTTTGTAATCCCGAAAATCTTAATTAAAAATATTTTGATTTTTACTTTTAATCCCAAATACCGGATTGAAAAAAATTTTAATCCCAAAAATCGCGATTAAAAGTTGAAAATCTAATTTTTAATTCAAAATTTTTTTAACTAAAAAATTCGCAACCCTGATTCTAATAATAATGATATATAAAAGAGAAAACTATTATCTTACCAATACCACAATTGCAATGAATATATCCAATATTAATAAATGCAATAAAGAAACAATGCAGTTGCCAGTCCAGTACTTGGCGTAATCAAATCCATATCTCCAATGATGAGCTAAAATATTCTCTTCTCGCTCACGCCCATACCTCTTGAAATGTTTAATAAAAATAAATATATATGATCGAATTGTCTAAACGTTCTAATTACCCATAGAATATTTAGAAATGGTAAGAAGAATGAAAAACTGAAACAAAACATCGATATACTGGACTTGCTGTTGGTAGAACACATTCTCGCATTGGTATGTTGTCGAAATGATCGCACTATAACTTTTATATTGTTTATATTTTGCTCCTGTAGCTTTTGTAACCATTGAGCAAATATTTGATGTTGCAACTGCAAGAAACCTTCTCGCAAATATAAATCATCTTGCACGGTTTTTTCGCCGGCATCCTGAGCAATTATACCGCTACAGCGTGTTGCCCAAAGTTCTGTACCCTTCTGATTTGAATCCTTTGTTCGAAAATCACTTGGGAAACGTATTTCATTATCTAGATTACTTTTTGTCGTTGATATGAATTTAACAGCCGCTAATGTTTTATTGTTGTCGAATCTGTTCATCATCGTTTTTTCTGTTTTATATGACTTTGCTTCGGTTAATTTTAGACTTTTTGCAACTTCATCCATTATACCGGTAGCCGTAGCATCGTCTGGAGTATATATAAGATTTGTTGGCATTGGTGTTCCAGAGGCGCTTAATAAGGATCTAATGAATACAAATGGTATAAATGAAATGTGTTTCAAATACATACAACCTTATATTATTACAAAATAATTTTCTTCCAAACTTACTTTAGAATGTCCAAATTATCGAGTTTTTGTTCGTCATATATCACAATCTTTTTGAGGTCATCGTCAGTTAGTTCATTATTGATCGACGGAGTTGTGGGGAACAGAACAGCGAGTAAATAGCATATAATTATAATAACTATTTCAGAGATAGTTTTCTTAACTGAACGAATTTCAAATTTAAAATTTTTACTAACGGCAGTTTTAACCGAGGCAGGCATTTTAGTTGATTTATTTACAGCTACAATATAAGATAAAAATGCATATTTATATAAGGTTTTGGTTGGAAATTAATAATACAATATTATGTTTGTAACTTACCAACAATAAATGCCAATATGTATATTAGATACATACATAAATATATGCATGTGTATTAAGATGTACGTTATTTCCCGGATTTTTTTTTGTTTTTTGCAAACGCCCTCTGAAATTTCAGTCTTTGTCCTTAAATTAAGAATCCAACGTAAACAAGCTTTTTATTTTCAATTATAACCGTGGCTAAATCATATTTCTTTTCCCATGGATATAACATAGGTTTTTTTGATATTTTGAATTAAGCGAGTAAATATACAAATTTGAAATAGATATATTCTACTACAAAATTTTCCGCGCTACAAAAATTATCCGAATGAATTATTCTTAAAAGCATTTCTTTAAAAGCTATACCTAATTAAATTTATATTATATCAAATGACCTAAGCATTCATACAAATGATTCACACATTCTGTGTTGCTCATACGACATGGTATACCAACATACCATATGTGAATACAGTACATTTGATGCATAACTTTAACTGCGTCTAACTTTTAAAAAAGTGCTTTTATACAAAAAATCTTCAAGTCTTTTTTGTAGAGCGGAAAATTCTGTATTAGAATATCATTTACAAACTTATAGATTTACTTGCTTTAAGATAAAAAATTTATTGCAAAAGATCAAAAAATATCATATAAAATATAATGTAAAAGTAAAATGATTTAGCAACAAAATAAATTGAAAAAAAACTTGTTGGGATGTATACTTTTTTAGGACTTGAAACTTTTGGCGTCGTTTGCAAAAAAACAATCAACTTAGGAAATAACGGATACCCTAATGTATATGCTTAAATTATAATCCATTGTAGGTGCTTTATATTTAAGGGTGTATATAGACACATTTCTTCCATTTTTGGCACCAAACCACTGTGAGGACATGATATTAGATCAACCGGAGTCACGAATTCCTCATACTATGTATATGGGTATGAGTTGATTACTTATGCTATAGTCAAATAATATAGAATCAAAGAAACTGGTGGAACTAACTTATCATATGTTCCAACTGTCTAATTTTCAAATCGTACTAAGGTGTATTACACCAAATTCAAATCATTGAGTAGTTTGCTAGATATAATGTTTTACCTAAAAATACGTTGAGTAAATAAAACTATAAATAATATATAGTAAAATTTAATCATTTTATTGTTTTTTTATAAGAAACTGGGAAGATGAAGGCTCATTCAAATACAAGTTTTCTCGCTTTGCTAGACAACTTATACTTTAACTTTAAAACCTAAAGAGCAAAGGGTTTATCAGAATGAACGATTTACTTTCCATGCTTCTCTTTAATAAAAATGGCGACTGTTGCTTGGCAAAGCGTAAATGAGAGCTGCCCAACATTTTTCTTCGTTTTGCTTTGCTTCGCCTCGATGTGAACGAATTTATACAAAAGTATTTGTACATCGAACTTATTAGTGAAAGCAAACAGAACGAAAAGTTTTTTGTGAATCAGCCATAAGAATTGCGTCATACAGTGCTGCCAACAGCAAAGAGGGTCAAACTAATTGTGATTTTTTGGAATAAAACCGATAATACGATCAAGTAAGAAAAAATATACACAAGGGAACGGAGTTTAGTTAATTTTTTATTGTAGCATTTCGTCATTTAGATGCTTTAACACGACGTTTTTATACCCTGAACAGGGTATATTAAGTTTGCCACGAAGTTTGTAACACCCAGAAGGAAACGGCGGAGACCATATAAAGTAGATATATAAATGATCACCGTGACGAGCTGCGTTGATTTAGCCATGTCCGTCTGTCCGTTCGTCCGTCTGTCTGTATTACGCGAACTAGTCCCTCAGTTTTTGAGATATCGATCTGAAATTTTGCACCTGTCCTTTTTTCACAAAGCAGCTGCTAATTTGTCGGAACGGCCGATATCGGATCTCTATAGCATATAGCAGCCATATAAACTAAACAATCGGAATCAAGTACTTGTATGGAAAACTCTTTCCTTTGGCGAGGTATCTTCACGAAATTTGGCACGAGTAATTGCTTATGACAACAAATTATTCTCCGTAGAAATTATTAAGATCAGATCACTATAACATATAGCTGCCAAACAAATTGAACGATCGGAATCAAGTTCTTCTAAGGAGCCTTTGTATTTGTGAAGGGTACTATAGCTTCGGTGCAACCGAAGTTAACGTTTTTTCTTGTTGAATTATTCATTTTGATAAGTTTTTAGAACGAACATACCTAATGTAAAAAATAAGCAACCCTCAAACAGCTGTTTCGTTTGACATATGATACACCTTTCATTTTTGGTAGCCTAGAAATGTCTATGCGGTAAATAATTGTGCACAAATTTACGCAATATTAGTGGTAGAGTGGGGTTGTGTTTTTAATAATTATCATTTTAAACAAATGGCCACAGCAACTAAATTAGGCAAAGGCCTGCAAAGACTTTTCGTGGGAAATTTACCGTGGACGGTAATTCATAAAATATATAATATATACTGGATGTAATAATTTTTATTTGATTATAGGTTGGTAATCAAGAACTGCGTACATATTTCAAGGAATTCGGACGTGTAATATCAGCAAACGTGATTTTCGATAGGAAAACAGGCTGTTCACGTGGATACGGTTTCGTTGTGTTCAATGATATAACTCCAATAGAAAAAATTGAAAGCGAACAAAAACACGTGCTTGAGGGCAATTATTTAAACATTCAAAAATCTTAAAACATAATCCTAAATATAAAGCATTATACATAAATGTTTATGTAGTATACGGATCCCGAAGTCTTAAAGAAACAAACACAGCATAAAAAACTAGTTTTTCATAATGTCAACATCCGATTTTTCTGACAGTGACATTGACACCGAACCTATCGACGAAATATTTTCGGAAGCAGCAGAACATTTACAAAAAATCCACAACTCACTCGACTCCACAGATCTTTTAGAAATCTATGGTTTTTACAAGCAAGCAACTTGTGGCCGATGTAATACGCCAAAGCCGAGCGTATTTAATATGCAAAGTAGAAGCAAATGGTGCGCATGGAATGATTTGGGCGATATGTCTTGCACAGAAGCAAAACATTTATATATTGCAAAAGTTAAAAAGGTTGACAGTAATTGGTTACCAAATCACGAAATCGCCAGCAAACGCAAAACTCCATCTGGTTGGGTAGTACATTCCATTCCACAAAAACATGAAGAAATCGATCAAAAAGAGGAACACGAAAAAAATGCCTTTGATTTCATCAAAGAAGGAAATTTCATTCAACTGCAAAAATCATTAACGGCAGAAATTATGGAGCACCTTGACGAAAATGGTATGGGTCTTATACATTGGGCAACTGATCGTAATTCTGTCGAAATACTACAATATCTTATAGATAATGGCGTCGATGTCAACCAACGCGACTCAGAGCAACAGACAGCTTTGCATTATGCTGCTAGTTGCGGTCATGTCGACTGCATCCGTATATTACTAGATGCTAATGCGGATCCAGCTATTAAAGACGCTGATGGACAATCGAGTCTCGATGTGGCCGATAATAACGATATTTATGAATTGCTTAAAACCTGATGGAGACCCATATAAATATACATACTTACAGATTATTTCTTACCTGTAACTTTCGTTAATACCGGTTCAAACTATTTATATTAAAATTATAATAAGGTTCTTTCGGTATGATCTGTTTAAATTAATTTTCTCTATTCATCAATAAATAACATTTCGATTTGAAATTGACGTAAAACTGAACGAAATAAAAGATATTTTTATATTATGTGACTCCATGGTGTTTCGCATGTATCTAAAAATCATGATTCAATTAACCATGTGTAAAGAATAAAAATTTTCTGGTTATTTTGTAAAATAAAATAATATAAAGTAGGATACGAGAAATGCTTATGTCGTCCCTAAATAAATAAACTTACATTAAAACTTGCTTTTGCTCCCTTAATACAGCAACAAT